AAATCTACCATTCGTCCGTGCATTGAATTCTGTTGCCATATCTGGTCAGGTGATCCTGATAGTCATCTCTGGGATATTGCCAAAATCCTAAGAAGCATCTGCAATGTAATCGATCCTGACATGGCATCACGACTTCAGTCACATTCTCTCTGTCTTTTCTACAAATACATTCATAGCAACTGCTCTGACAAGCTTTTTCCCCTAGTGCCACCATGACATTAATTTAAGCGTGCTACTAGACTGGCATCTAGGTCCCATCCTTTTAGCGTTGAAATAGTTAAATATAATCGCTACTTCTACTCCGACATTTTTTATCGCACTTTCCGTCAGTGGAACTCCCTTCCGTTTCGCTGCTCCCCTGATAACTACAATGTTCAAAAATTTAAATGCAACATCAATCGCTATCAACTATCCTATTGAATCAGTTTTTCTCCTTTCCTTGGTCCCCTCCATACCTGATCTTTTCTTTCGCCCTCACTGTCTGTAACTCTCTGCGTATTAGTGCCATTCTCGCCTTGCTTGGGCGGAAATGATTAAATATTTTTGTCATGCAACTTTCCCCCAATATTGTCCTTGATATATAAAATTTTATATATCGTTATCACATATAGTTTCTTGTATGACTTACCTGTATCTAAAAACATTGTGCGCACAATACATATATTGACTATATTTCTTTCAGCTATTCTTGCTTTTCCTTCTATTGTATTAAGACTTTAGCATATCACAGATACACTAATGCCTATAATGGGCATTGGAGACTGTAGATAAAAAGTATAATTATTATTTAGTTACTAGCATCCTCATTGATAATAGTAAGATATCTGTTTATAAAATGTTTTGTTTTCTTTACCCTTGTAAAACCTGGGTAACATTAAAAAAAGAATTACAGACCCCAAAGAAAATTTCCTCGACTATGTTTCATTTGCAATCCTCAGAATTTCTTAAATGTCAAAGACAACTAACATGTAGGTTTTAGAGCTTGAGCGCACGCCCAGAATTTAAACAGAAATACGTAATCATAGGCAACATTAAATAGATCCTTTTATTTGGGAGGATGTTTAGATGATACAAAAGCAATTATTAAGTGTAGAGATAAAGGCAGCTAAAATGACAATAAAAGTAAGCCAAAAGCATGTTTTAAGGTTTCAATAGACAAGAGACTAACAACTTCTAAAATCAATCGGGATATTTGGAAGAATTGTGCAATTGGCCGAGGAATAAAAAAGGAATCTCTTTGAAGAGAACAGCCGCAGTCATGTAAAGGCATAAAGAGCCACAAGAAATGGATAGCCAATGCATGAGGTCAATACGTAATACCTGTAGCTGTGTTTTCGCTCTCAAGCTGATCTGAACAGCCATATACTTGGCAATGCACTCAGACCTTAAACTAAATATGCACAGGTAATTTTACCAGATTCATCTTATCCAATTTGTTATTCTTGATTACAATGTCGAGAATGACAACGAAAACCCCCTCGTCAAATTTATAGATACATAAAACAGATACATACTGGTATAAGACAATACAAATTGGCGTTCCTTAACTAAAGAATACCATGTTCCATACATATCAATATATATCCAATAATAGTTCTGTAATAATTCGAATACATGAAAAACAAAAACACAGATAAAATACATATTATGAATAATTTATGATATATCTTGAAAGACATTTCCGTAAAATGAATTGAGAAATATTACACATGAACATGGGCACCCTGAAGCGGTGTAATGGTTAGCAAGCTTGTCTCGCTAGAACATTTACGACTGAGTAGTGAGTTTGATCCTCACTGGGTGCTCCATAATTTCGGCCTTGTGACACATCTAAGCTGTGTTTGGAAAATTACTATTACACATGAACAACAGTTGTGAAAGAATGATGTATGCATGCCTTATTTCTTTTCAGGATAAATATTTTTAGTTGATAAAAAGAATATAATTATATTTAATCTCCTACTTGCAATGCTCTTTTTTAATCTGTCATTTGTGTTGTGTAAATCTGAACAAGCACTCGTTTAGTAGGGTATTGTAAGCAGAGAAGAGCCCTGCTTCCAAAGACAAAACTCGCGCCATTCCTATGCGAAAGGAACGTGGAAGAACTGCGTGAAACGGTGTGGGTGGTGGGTAGAGGAAATATTGCTGACTAAGCGAGAAAAGAAATAAGGTAAAAAAAGCAGTGGAGTTAGCTGCTTTTCGTTTTGAAGAATATGAAGCTACGGCCAAATGATCTATTTAGTTGTAAGTGGAAGTGGTTATCCCTCTTCCTGTTGCGACCTCCTGGTCCAGTTTCCCTCTCTACTCTTCCCTTTTTTAAATCTTATTCACTATTCTCTTGATGGTTCTTGAAGGGAACTCGAAGCCAGAGTATGAATATAAGTACCATTACTGAAGGCCTGAATGATCGTTTTCCTCTCACCATTGCTCATTTGAGAAGACAGTGGGGCTGACAAAAAAACGATTTTAACCATTTCCCTTTCTAGCTTAATAACACAAAGGGTTTTTCTGCGATGGTGTCAAGATGAATAAACGTCTTATCTAAAAACCCGAAAGAAAATAAACTCGATTAGTTTAGTGTTTTTTTTTTTTAGATATTAAACATTTTGTGGGGTGGACAATTTTGCTGTTACAAGATTTAGACAATTTTCCTGTTACACCCGGTACAACAAAAGGCCAAAATAGGGAATTTCTCAAAATGGATAAAAAAATGAACAGAAGTAAAAATAAAAATATAATGTAATGTTTAACAGTAACGTCTCTAAAAAAAGTAAATATAGAAAATGAAAAATTAGATGATTCTTGACGCATCTTTTTAGTAACGGATTATAAACGATCATCCTTTACTAATGCTGATGAGCGAAATATGACTTCACTTTCTAAATATTTTTTTTTCAAATTAAAAGAGGAAAATTAAATAACTAAAGTTAAATGGAAATTTCTCCATGAAGATAGAACCTCGAGGCCGGTGATCGAGCCGTGCTTCCTCTGTCTGCGAGAGAAAATGGAAATAATTAAGTTCTTCAATAGTGACATATTATTAAATCAAAGATATGAAACCACGGTAAATTGTAAACATATTAAAGAATTAACCTTCAATGAGTTATGTGTCATACGTGATACACGCTGAGGCGATCTTGTAACTTTCGATACATGACTGACGAGGCAGATTTTTTCCCGATTTTTTTTCTTGCAATCCAAGGCTACAGAACCCGGTCTGTCCTGCTATTTGCTCATACGTGTAGAGGCGGGGAGAGAAAGGGGATTCATACCTTTCTCAAGAGTATTAGCACGTAAGTGAATGTAATGGTTTCAACTAAAATTCGAACTCGGCTCTCCGATTCCTCAATCGGAGCCGTTATCCATTACCCCACCATTTACAATCTTGCTAAGCTTCATAACTCAATAATCATTCCTCTTACGTTATATTATCTATATATAAACATTTTAAAGTTATCATCAATGATTTATTCTAACTTTAGGTATTATATTGGTTTGTATTCGTAAATTACTAGTAGTACGCTTATCCATGAATTAGCTTATTATTTTTTCTCTTGCTGTGTTGATAATAGATATTAATTTAAATTAATTTAAAAATATAAAAGTTTAAAATTGATTTTGTATTCTATTTTTTTTATGTAAGGTCGGTTTTGTTAAGTATTGTATTTCTTCTTAAAGTGTGATTTATTTACATTCTATGGATAATTTGCTTTGAATATGTGATTTCATTAAAATGACATACAATCTGAAATGCAACATTGTAACCAATGTATTAAGATCTCTTGGCGTTTCATCTTCATATGTTATTTTCTTATCTTTCCTTTTTCTTTGTATGTGTGTAATTTTGAATATACTCTTCTCTTTCTTTTGCCTTTCTTTTCTTTCTACTTTCTTGGTAGTAGGGTTAATTTCTTATGCTTTCTTTTTCTTTTCTTTTCTTTTCTTTTCTTTTCTTCCCTCTTCCTTTTCCTTTTATTGATTTCTTATTTTCTTTCTTTTTTCTTTATAAAAATCCTTTTTTATCTTGTACGGAAAATTTCCCAAAAAAGGAAAATGAAGTGATGTTTCATAAATTACAACATTAAATGAAATCTTTTATTACCATCTTTATTAACTACCGGATGAAACGTTTTGGTAAACATCGAAACAAATGTACAATTTTGTAGTAGTTACCTACATATTCTTATGTAACAGTGTACAATAAATATTTATTCTTCTACTCTTTTATTGAGCAATGTTTTAAATTAATATTTTGAAGGTTGCAATTTTATTCTTCGTTCTTTTACATTTAGACACACACAAATATATATATATATATATATATATATATATATATATATATATATATATATATATATACCCGGAAGCATCCGAGTATTAGTGTCAGTTTTATGATTCACGCGTTTCAAGCTTTATGGGATTGTAATCCGTTAATGGATTTCCATTCATTGAAATCACTTGAGTATATGGCGACCATCTTGTACGTCTTCTTGGGAAACGCTTTCTGTTGCAGATGAGAGCTTTTACCCTAAATGCCGTGTCAGATTTTGTCCAAGTACATCATTACTTATTGGAATATCCTCTTCCATGTGCCATGACCATACGGGACATTGTAGCCTTGTATCACATATTTGTATTTTCAAAATAATTATTACTTTCGTCTATAGTACATAGACTATGAATTTAAATGCAGTACTGGATTGGTGGCAATGTTCCATCATTTTAGATTTGAAATGGCTAGATATAACCAAAAGTTCAATACTAACAGTTTCTTCTCTCGCACTTATCGCTTGTGGAACTAATTTCCGGTTTGTTGCTTCTCAGTCAATTTTGATGTTCAACTATTTAAAGACAATGACAATCGGTATCTTCTGCCTTCTTAACTCCTCGTCTTTTACTGTTTTATCTCCTTTAGATTGTTTCTTTCTCTTATATACTTCTCATACTCATTAACCCATTGCTGTCTTAGTGGCTTTATTGCCTTGCTTGTGTTGAAACGATTAGACAAAGAAAACAAAAGAAAGAAAAAGAAAACATTTAAAAAAGGAATGATAAAAACGAAACATAAAAACGAAAAAGAAAACATAAAAAAGGAAAAAAACATAAAAACGTAAAAGATAAAAAGAAAAAAGAAACATAAAAAGAAAACATAAAAAAGGAAACATAAAAAAGAAAAAGAAAACATAAAGAAGAAAATCAAAACATAAGAAGAAAACATAAAAAAGAAACATAAAAAAGAAAAAGGAAACATAAGAAGAAAACATAAAAAGGAAACATAAAAAAGAAAAAGGAAACATAAAAAGAAAATCAAAACATAAGAAGAAAACATAAAAAAGAAAAAGGAAACATAAGAAGAAAACTTAAAAAAAGGAAACATAAAAAAGAAAAAGGAAACATAAGAAGAAAACATAAAAAGGAAACATAAAAAACAAAAAGGAAACACAAAAATAAAACATGAAAGGAAAAAAGAAACAGAAAAGAAAAAGGGAACATAAAAATGAAAAAGGAAACATAAAAAAGAAAATCAAAACATAAGAAGAAAACATAAAAAAGGAAACATAAAAAAGAAAAAGAAAACATAAAAAAGTAAACATAAAAAGAAAAAGGAAACATAAGAAGAAAACATAAAAAAGGAAACACAAAAATAAAACATAAAACGAAAAAAAAACAGAAAATAAAAAGGGAACATAAAAAAGAAAAAGGAAACATAAAATGAAAAAGGAAACAAGAATAAAACATAAAAAGGAAACATAAAAAACAAAAAAGAAAAAAAAAGGAAAACAAAAAAGAAAACGAAAAAAGAAAACAGAAAAGAAAAAAGAAGACATAAAATATAAAAATAAAATAAAAAAGAAAACATAAAGACATAAAAAAGAAAACAAAAAAGAAAAAAGGACATATAAAAAGAAAATATAAAAAGAAAAAAAAAGAAATCATAAGAAAGAATCTCGAACCGAAAAATGTAAAATTAAAAAGAAAAACGTAAAATTAAACAATTTTTTTTACTAAATACCTTATTTATACTCAATTCAAGAATTCTACAAAATATGCTAGGTTAATTCTATTTAGATTTCTTTCTTTCTAATTTAATTAAACCAAACATAAAAATTCTTAATCATTTAATCAACGTGTTTTATTCAAAACCTAATTGTCTATCAAACCTAGAGAGTTCAGTTAAGCTTAATATTTAGCGCATAATGAAGGAGAAGAGATGGATTATCTTTCCCAAAATTATTTGTGCAAAAGTGAAGGCAACGAACTCGATCAGAACTCGAACACGTCTCTCTAATTTTCGAGTTCCGTGTCGTTCTATTTCTTATGTGTATTGTGTTTTTGTTGTATTTTCTACTATTTGTCTTTATTTATTGCTTTCTTCTTTCGTTTCTTTCTTTCTTTCTTCCATCCTTCCTTCGTTCTGTCATTCATTTCTTCTTGCTTCATTTCTTCTTTCTTGCTTTCTTTCTTTCTTTTCTTCCATCCTTCCTTCCTTTTTCATTCAGTTCTTCTTTCTTTCTTCCTTCCTTCTTTCATTCATTTCTTCTTTCTTCTTTCTTTCATTTTTTGCTTCCTTTCTTCTTTCTTTCTTTCTTTCTTTTTTCCATCCTTCCTTCCTACGTTCATTCATTTCTTCTTGCTTCCTCTCTTATTTCTTCTTTCTTTTTTCTTTCTTTCTTTCTTTCTTTCTTTCTTTCTTCCATCCTTCCTTCCTTTTTCATTCATTTCTTTTTTCTTTCTTTCTTCCTTCTTTCATTCATTTCTTCTTTCTTTCATTTTTTTGCTTCCTTTCTTCTTTCTTTCTTTCTTTCTTTCTTTCTTTCTTTCTTTCTTCCTACGTTCATTCATTTCTTCTTGCTTCCTCTCTTATTTCTTCTTTCTTTCTTTCTTTCTTCCATCCTTCCTTCCTGCTTTCATTCCTTTCTTCTTGCTTCCTTTCTTATTTCTTTCTTTCATTCATTCTTTCTTTTATTTCTTTCTTCCATCCTTCCTTCCTGCTTTCATTCATTTCTTCTTTTTTTCTTTCTTTCTTTCTTATTTCTTTCTTTCTTTCTTTCTTTCATTCATTCATTTCTTTCTTTTTTTTCTTTCTTCCACCCTTCCTTCCTGCTTTCATTCATTTCTTCTTGCTTCCTTTCTTATTTTTCTTTCATTCATTTCTTCTTTTTTTCTTCCTTCCATCCTTCCTTCCTGCTTTCATTCATTTCTTCTTTCTTTCTTTCTTTCTTATTTCTTGCTTTCTTTTTTTCTTTTCTTCCATCCTTCCTTCGTTTTTTCATTCGTTTCTTCTTTCTTCTTTCATTCATTACTTTTTGCTTCCCTTCTTTCTTTCTTTCTTTCTTTCATCCTTACTTCATTCTTTCATTCATTTCTTCTTGCTTTCTTTCTTTTCTTTTTCTTCCTTTCTTTTCCTACTGTCCCACTTTATTTTTTTTCTTTTATAACACATTCTCTTTCTTCGGTTTTAATTTGTTCCTTATTTCTTTTACTTAATTATTATATTCTTTTTTTTTTCGTTGTTAATTTCATTCGCTCTTTTCCTTCTTTCTTGTATACAATTGTTTCCTCTACTTTTTTCTTTCCCGTTTTCTTCCTTAATCCTTTGCTCTTTTTTATTTCTGTCTTTTTTCTCTTTCCCCCATTCTTTTCAATTATGGTTTTCTCTTTTTATATCACTTAGTTTTATACTTTCTTTCTTTTTTCGTCGCTCTCTTCCCCACATTTATTCTAGTTATGCCCTCCAATCCCACATTCCCTCCCGACATACTTTCCCAAGGGATTTGTCACCAGCATTAAACTCTTCCTCGTATCTCGTTGTTTGCTATCTTCTTTTTGTAATCCAGCTATGTTTTACACTCAAAATGTCAATATTTGTTTTTCCTGGTAAAACATTATTTCTGGAAAAACAATCCAAACAGTGGCCAACGCACCAGTGACATCTGCGAATCGCATCCAATTCGGAAAACAGATTTTGTCAATTTCATAAGGACACAGGAAGAGAAATCATCTTCAGTCTGCAGTGGTTGGTGTATACGTTTTGGAAAGGGCAACAATGCAAACAAAACATGCGCAACGAACAAAAGGGTTTTTACTGAAGATGATCAGGGAACAAGGAACAACCCAAATATTCTTCTTCTTCTTCTTCTTCTTGTGGATTCCTTTCGGGATGAAATCCGGTCTCCAATGAATGACAAACGCAGGAATGAAATATAACAAATAAATGTATTTACACAATAATACAATTGGTAATACGGTTAGTACATCCAGAAACGTGGTTAGTAGCAATAATATATATATATATATATATATATATATATATATATATATATATATATATATATATATATATATATATATATGAGGTAAATCCAGTCTCTCAGTAGGACTTCTTTAGAGTCTACGTGTTTGTAACTGTGACTTCTACAAGTGCTTACCTCACACTATTACTCTACCTCCAACTCAATCACAATCTCTGTCTCTGCTCTCACTACTCTGACTGACTCTGGGTATTTAACGGCAGCAGTCCAAGTACACACAGGTCGAGTCCACTTGTATGAAAAAGGGGTGGACCCCATAACAGTTGTTATTATTATTATTATTATTATTATTATTATTAGTAGTAGTAGTAGTAGTAGTAGCAGTCATTATCAGATCTAAATGTGTTGCTTTTGTAATTCATGAAGATGAATCTATCGCTTGGGCTTGGAATTCATATGCGGGTGTTTGGGGTTTTTATTTAATGGATGGAAGTCCTCCATAACATCTAAGCAGTGTCGAGGAAGACGGTCTTTTAAACTTTTTTGTATTTTGATGTTGTCATGGATTTGATTGGTGTATTCTTCCATCTCTTTAGACTAAAACGAGTGTGCCAACTACTACTGGTACTACTAGGATCTTCGGAAACAATATGATTTATATTTCTATTTTAAATGATTTTACTTGAAATTTTTTCTGTAGTTCTTCTTTCTGTGAAGACAGACATGTCGATGAGTCGACATGTTTTTTCTTTGTTGCCCTTCACTACTGTATCAGAACCATTATTATTATTATTAGTAGTAGTAGTAGTAGTAGTAATATATTTCGATTTCTGCTATGGCCATACTACCTACCAAGTCTGTGGGAAGACCTAAGGCAATAATGGGGCGTTGTTATGGCTACATTTTTTAATTTGTTTTTCCAACTCCCACAATATTACTAACGTTACATGGACAAAGTTTTTCTTAGTGTGCGCCATGCACTTATCCAGGCATTATTATTATTATTATTATTATTATTATTATTTCCTTTGATTTCTGTTGCATACACATTACCTCCCGGGCTCCAATCAGAGAGATACGATCAGAAATGGTTGCATGAAATTTTCCAATGATCATTTCTGTAAAAAAAAAATAAATAAATGAAAGCCTAAGAACCCGCACATTTTACATAGATAAAGCTCTTCGTAAGGCGTGATCTGTACTTGTGAGTACAAGTTTTGTATTTCTTTAAGGGATGGGTTAGCAGGAATCATTCCATTGAATCTATCGGAACCTTTTCTAATCAATCCAAGGGTTGTAACTTCAGATGAAATTATTGATGTCCTCATGTAACATATTTTTGAGAAATCCACTTAAAGATTCTTGTATTTTTATAGTTTTTTGAAAACCTTCAAATAAATATGACAAACTGTAGGGATAGAGACGTCAATAAAAAATCCCATTCTATTTTTGTGGTCTTGAATCACGATGTCGGGGTGATACTTTCTGTGTATTGTCCTCTAGCTTGGTTTGGGAGGTATTTATACAGGTTTTTTGCAGTTGCCTTCCTGTACAAGTTACATATTTTTCATTACAGATATTAGCCAACCCTGTTATGCCGAGTTTTATATTCAGTTAATGCTAACACTGCGTAAACTGTTACAAGATGATCAGTTGTTTCGGTATACTTATCACAGAGTCTGCATTTCGGGTTAACACAATTGTTCAGTATGTGGTCTTGGTAATTTCTAGTTAGCTAGAATTTGTCCAGGGCAGCAAGAATAAAACCTTTGCTTTCAGCTTTTAGTTCAGCATTACGTAATCTCTAATTGGTACGGGGTTTGTGTATATCAGCTTGTCTCAGGCAGAGTATTGACCATGAAGAAGCTTATCATGCAAGCGGTTTTGCATTTGGTACATTGCATTTGCTTCTGCTTTCCTTTTTACATTCTTTGCCGCTTCAGTAGTTGTACTATTGTTTATTTGCACTTCTTCGATCAGATGAAATTGCTGTTTGAATTTGTTGGCTCACTTTATTACTGTATAAAGTTCCGTATATGTTTTATGTTCTTTTACACAGATCATCATCCAGTGTTCTGTAGTTTCCAAGTATCTTTGAATACCGATTGTTGTAAGACAGTTCTAGTTGAACTAATCCTCTACCTCCATCGGATCTGGACGATCAACATCAGCCTTAGGATGATGTATGCGATGGAAAGTGAGAAGCTTTCTCGTTTTGACATCCATTCGCTTAATGTCAGTTATGGGCAAATTAAAGATGTTCAAACTGTATTTCACCAAAGAGAACACCGAAGTGTTTATGGCTGATATTCTGATTTGTAAATTCAACTCTGTATTTAACACAAGACACACACGCCTGTAGTATTCTTTTCTTACTTTCTCCTTTGAGTATATTGTCTTCCATCTCCTTCGATAACTTCCAGGTATTTATGTGCTTCTCGTTCCAGTTCCCTAATCTTTGTGACAAAATCTAGATCCATTGAGTGTGCCTCTGCCATTCTCCCTTTCTTGAATGTCACGTTTGAACATTTATCTAAACTGAAATCCATTTCGATGTCATCAGTGTTTTCATTTATTGTACGCAAAAGCTCAGAGTAACTTCAGTTCCTTTGACGGTACGTTTAAATTAATGTCTCAAAAATTCCTAAACACTAAAATTTGAATCCTTGCAGCACAGGACCAATG